TGTGTATATTTTTTTCTAATCCAACAGTTATATTGACAAGGTCTCCATTGTTCATCAGTACTACTTTTCTGTATTTTTAGACTGATATTAAAACTATCTACTATCTTACCCCTTTTAGACAAATTAAATCATTCATTAGTAGATCCACTTTGTGTTTACTATTTTTCACTTAGTATTTTAAAAATTATTGCTTCCTTTGGCTAGCATGGATCCATTTTGCATTTCTTCTGCCTTCATCTTTAAATTGCCTCAGATTTTAAAATGGCTGCCTTGCAAACTAATGATTTCCAAAGCAGTTATTTTCTACCCTCATATATTGAAACAGTCCCCTGTGAAACTACATGAGCTCTTCATGTTCAGTGCTTCTGGTACAATTGAAAAATCTTAAGGGTAGCAAGATTCTAGGTTGTTCTTACCTTCTCCCACTCATTGATTTTAATACACCCTCTCATTACACCATACTTCTCAGATTGCTTAAATCCCATAAGGTTTATTTCTTGAAGTTGTTTTTGTGGTTTTATTCTATTGCATTGCTCAGTGTGGCTGCACTGAATTTGAATAGTTTTTATTCACTTGGTACAAATATTTCATATTTCAGCCTCCAGTTTTGTCCTTCGGCAAAAAACTTATACTAATAGCTGCCTCTCCCAATGATTTCAGTCAGTTCAGCTACGTGGTAATCAATGACTTTGATCATAGACATCTAGCTACATTTTGTCAACCAAGCATTTCATGAAGTTCCTATATATATATAAAAAGGCTAGATAGGAATTAGGAAACCTCAATTAGCTATTGCCTTAGGCTGCAATCCTAACTCCACTTACTAGGAGTAAGCCTCACTGAGTAAGACTTACTCCTGAGTAGACATGGTTGGGATTGAATTTTTTGTTACCATAATTTTTCATAAGAAAAAAGAATGGAGGGCACTGCCAAAACTAGCCAAAAAAAGCAAAGAGAGCCTCCAGAGTCCAGCAGGTGCCAGAACAGAGGACTTTTTGTAAATGAAGTTTTTATGAGTTTGCTCCTCAGGGACAGCAGTGCAAGTTCTTCTATATCAAAAAGATGCTTTTGAAGCAATTTCGTTGTCGAAGCTTCATTGTCCCTAGAAATGTGCTGCTGAAGTCCAGTGTCTTCTTAATTTTACATTAGCTGAAAAGTGGGTAGCCATATACAGGTGCACTGTAATTTTATTTCCTGGTTCCTGATCCCAGAAATAATACATGCCAAAAGAATCCTGCTTTCCTACATTGATTCCCTAACTTACATTAGTATAAAGAAGCAGAGCCATGGGAGGCAGATAAAATGTTGTTCTCGTTCCTCGTCCTTTGTCCCTCAGTGGATATTTTTTTAAGCCCCATACAAAAGTCTGTGTAGAAAATGGACTGCACTTGTATTCCTATGCAAAGTTTACTATCTGGTTCACTGTGATTTTGATCAATATTTTAACACATTACTTTATTCTCTTTATTGTGAGAATAAATAATATTGTGACAATATTTCATTTACCATGAAATGACTTAGGCCTATTATTTCCTGCTACTACTTGGATACATGTTTTTGCCTCCTGCTCATTTCCATTTGGCAAAACTGTTATATAATGAGAAAATCAGATCAATGGAACATTCCATGGATGGTGGCCATAATGTTTTACTGTGAAATCCTGGAAAGATGTGCTACTCTTCCCTCCCCCCCCTCTCTGATAGTTAACCATGAATATCTATGAGCAAAATGTGACATCTCAAATGTTATGAAGGGTCAGCATTTATACTTGACAGTATGAGAGGACTAAGATTTTAGAGCAATCCTAGTCAAGCAACAGATCATCATAATTGTAGAAACTAAAAAGTCATTGTAGCGATTGTACCACAAGGGAAATTGTTCATCCATCAGTAAGATTGTTACAAGGTAAGAGACAATGAGGAAAGGGAGTTAAAATTGCTTTAGCCCATTGTGTCATCAGTTCCCTCTAGATTCAAAAGCCTGAATTGGTTTTGGAGAGAAGTGGCATAAGAGGATTGCTACGGGAAATCTTAACAAGTTGATCACAGTCTCAGTAACACTAGCAAGTGTAAGTATGATCTCTCCTAAGGAAAAGTGTAGGTTACATATTGAAGGAGAGAGAAAAGGATGGGAGTACAATTAGCACATGTCTTCTCTCACTTTTTTTGGTCATGTGTATTTGGAAGATGGCTGTTCACAAAGGAAAACAGGTGTGATAAATAGTGAAACATTCCCATCACTCTGCAAGTAATTTATTGTAAATGTAGGCCTATATTTACAAATGAAGGTATACTGGCTTATGAGAGAGAGATCAGTGACAACATAAAGGGATAAATGTTAGTTGTACTATGGATGTGGAAGATGTGGAAAATATTTGTGCAGAGTAGCATCCTACAGTACTAATATGTAAGATTAAAAATTGTGAATGGAGATTATTGACTACTTTGTGTTCTGCTTAAATGCAATTAGAAGTGGGGACAATAATGTAATTATGGCTACCTGTTTAAGAGAGCGTATAAAGTGGCCAATTGTCTTTTTGCAATTTTAGTCTATTTGCTAAAACTTACAACATATGTGTGCCAGATTTATCTATGGGCAGGTGAGATATCTTTGAAAAAGTGCTATCTATCTTTTTCTTTGTGTTACAAGGAATTCTTTGTGCCCTTAATGTCCCCAGGATGTTTGCTGTGATACAAAGCCCTTTGTTTTAAAGGTGCTTGTATGTGATGGTTAATGCATTTTATAAAAGGCATCTGTGGAAGTGATATCCTTCTTTGAAGTGACCTGCCTTAAGTGTTAAGAGTGTAGGGGAATATATGTGCAAATTAGATTTGAAAAGCAAACCTCTGTGGTGGGATGTATATGCACTGTAGAAGGGTCTTTGTGTAATAGTTGCCTCTGGAAAGGGATCTCTTTATGGGAGTAGTAAGAATGTTGGTTTTGTAAGGAAGTGGCTTTGCAACTGTATGCTAGTATTACTACCATTGGTATGATCCAGCAGGGACTCAGAATATATATTTTTGTATCACTCCCATCCCAGAGACACCCAACCACCCATCAGGAAAGCTCTCCTTCAGGGTAGGCCAGGGCCATCATGTCCTTTATTGTTGTAACTCCCAGATTGTGATACTCTCACAAAACTGTTGCTAGGCAACAAATGTGGTTACCAGGTCTCCGCGAATAGCTGAAGGGGAAAGCAAAGTGTTGCACCATTGTAGAGTAACCATAGCAATGACCTACTATTACAGAGTGGAGAATTATCATTAACAATGTTAAAGTATCATACAGGAGCCTGGGATCTGGAGGCTTCCCAGCAGCATCTCTGCATAATTGTGTTATATAGGAAGGGCTCTGAACTCTTTCAGGGCATCTGGTTGCTGGGTATTGGGGGGGATTATTAGATGCTGTTACTGTTTGGTTTATGAAAGAAACATGCAGGGGAGTAAAAGGTTTTGGGACTCCTTAGCCAATCAGTGTGAGAGAGGAAAAGCATATGTCAAGAACAATGATCCCAGATCCATCTCACTTTTCCAGAATACAGATTTATGGTGCTACAGCATATATATATATGTGTGTGTGTGTGTGTGTGTGTGTGTGTATTAATCATAATATATTTAATCTGTGTTTTTGCAGGTGTGGGGGACCATCACCATAACCGCATACATTTGGTTTATTAAAAGAGAGGCTTTATCTAAGTGGATATGAGTGTTTTAAGCACAAAAAAGTTGTTTCTCGGTCTGTTCACTTGATTCTTGCTTGTAGAAGAGTGAAATGCCTGGTCATACAGGAAAGTGTACCTAATTAAGCAGCTGTCTTTTGGGAACAAGAAACACTGGAGAAAAGAAGTTACGGTACTACTTCTGTTTGAAAGGCACCCCAGCTTTCCTAAAACAAGGTCACATATATTGCTGCCTGAGAGTGCCTTGCTAATCAAGTCACTTAAGTGTTCAGCTTCCCAAGGTTATGTTCCATCAAAAATTGGGAATATAAACATAATAGGATGATCAGACTACCAAAGGGCATTACTCCTACATCCTTACTCTTTGCAGACAAGTTTTTTGCATGTTCAGCTTGTCAAGGATCTGCATCTGCCAAAATATCTGTTACTATGTAACTGTTGCAGGTATAGGAGAGTCTCTGCACCTGCCTCTAGTAGATTAGGGTATTAGATTTAGACCAGTGAGGCATGTATCCACTAAGTCTCCCACGTTTTCTCTTACGTTTATTTCAGAACTATTAGCTTTCAGACCTGATTTCCTCTCTATAAAATGTGAATAACTGTGTAGGTTTGTTGTAAGGGCAGTATCTTGAACTTTAAAACAAATGAAAATGAAAATAATTAACCCCGTTGGGAATGATCTAAATGGTTGGTGGAGAAAAGAGGCAGACAGGATACTTAGTACCAAACCGGAATCCTACCCCTTCTCAGTTGAGAGCCCTTTTCCTGTCTTAAGGCTGGTTAACAACTCCTTTCCCTTCCCTGGGGCTTAATTTGAGTCAAGAGTTCAGAAGCTCTTTTCAGTGCCAAGCTGCAGGCCTGGTGAAGCAGGGGAAGGCAGTGCCCCCTAGCATGTGCAGAATGCTTCTCTCGCAGTTGTGAGTTGCCACAATCAGCCTTGGCACGGGCAGCCTGGATGAGAGGGCAGGCCTTGCCGGCTGCCGGGCTTCAGAAAACCCCTCTGCCGTGCCCTGACGGAGAGCCTACCCTTTCACAGCCCCAGGCCTGGCTGCGCACTTACGCAGAACAGGCAAGGCCCCCTTGATGCCAGGGGCATGCACTCCCGGGTCAGGGTGCGCAGGATTTCAGCCTGGGTGCCCTTTCGCCAAGAAGGGGGGATCCGGGAGGGCGACGCTGCTCCGGCCGCCGCCTGCGTCCCGCTCCTCAACTTGACCCCTGTGGCTCGCTGTCGTCGGGGGGCGGAGTGTCCTCCTCCCCCTCCCTTCCCTCCGCCCGAGTCGCAGGCAGTGACGCTGTGCTTCTCCTTCCTTGTGTGTTGCAGGCACGGAGCGGCACGAGCTGACCTCGTGGAAGAGCTACGCGTCGATCTTCCGCTTCTTCGGCGACGCCATGGAGGCGAAGAGCAGCTCGGGCAAAGCGGCTCCGACGCGCCGCTCGCAGCGGATCCGCTACGAGGAGCTGTAACCGGGCGGGTGGGCGGGCGGGAGCCGGCGCCTGCTTGCCTGCCTGCCTTCCCGCCTGGGCGGCGGCGCTCGGCAGTCCCAGCCCCTCATTAGATTGTTTTCTTCCTAGAGCACAGGGTCGCCGTGTCTACATCTAAGTAGCGTTTTGCATTATTTCTAGATGAGTGCAACTGTCAAAGCAATATGGGTTCACTGGTTGTGCTTCCTGTGGGCTGCGGCGGGGATTTCGGGCTGCCCATCAGTGCGCAGATTAAGGCTGACAGCAGCACCGCACCGCGCAGCCTGGTGCAGCTCTAATTGCCCTGACAGAGCCCGGCACCGAGCTGATGGCGGGCGGACGCGGCGCCTCCCGGGTCCTAGCGCCCGGCCCTCCCTCGCCCCTCCCCGCCGTCGGAGCTCACATTTAGTTCTCCTTGATTTTAATGGTGGACTTCAACTCTCGCTAACCATGGTCCCGCCCACGCGTTAGGCTCTTTAATGATTTCCCGCAAACGCTTTGGGCGGGTTTTTTTTAAATAATAATAATAATAAAATATTTCCGTGCTTTTTAAATTCAGGGGCCCTAATAAACTGTATTGACTCAATGGTAGCGATCCTAAGCCCTTCACGTTTGTGAGACTTACGGTACGTGTCGCGTCAATGTGTTTACTCCAGCAATGGCTATTTTACTCTTTCTACTTCAGGCTGCGGAGAGGCTGTGCCACCCAAACTGAAACCATACATTTAATCAGTGGGTGCTTTGTTTGGTGTTTATTAATGAGGAAGACTTGAGCGACTTCAGCAAATCTGAGCATGGAAAGAGGACTTTATTTTACTTCCAAATGCGCCAAAACTACCGAGCGCTCTTTACTTATGTGGTTCCTAGGCAGTTTGCTGAGTCATTAAAAAAAAAACCCTAAAAGGATGTTTTAGCGACAAATGTAATATAGAGCAAATAATACCAGTATTTAAAATGTTGCTTCTAATACTTGGTTGAAACGTTTATTTTTTATTCTAACAGAATCTCTATTTTGTAACAAATCAGATAGCGAAGAACTTTTTTAAAGATCCTGGACGCTCCCAGGACGCCGCCTCTCCGCCCTGGGCGAGGCCGGGGCAGCAGAGCTTTCCATTCCTTGCTGAAACAGGGTCCGCCTTTGCCGGGAGGGGCGACTTCCCCCCTCCCTGCCGAAAGATCTTTTTGCTCACTCAATCTGTTGAACTCCTGAAGCCAGTTTCGATTTACCTTCACCGTCTGGTGACACTGTGAAATATTAATAGCAAAAAAAGAAAGAAAGAAAAGAAGCATGTATTACTGACGTTGCTAATCACTTTTGTTATAAGCAAGAGGACGTCGTTTTTACATTCCTTAAATTCCTCATGGCTTTCAATGAGTCCTGACTCTTTATAGTTCCACGCAGACCTAAAAGTCCATCTGTTGTCACCGGGTGTTTCCAGTTACCATGATACTCAGTGGGGTCTGCCTTTCACCCAACGCCGCAAATTCACGGGCTTCTAAGACCCAAACTCGTGGCCAGTGGGGTCCCTATGGGCCTCACCTCACATCCCCCAAAGCTCTGCCCGACCCGGACTCCAAGCCTGGGGCGCCCTCTCCACGTTCCCGGCCAGGCCACGAGGCTCAGCTGACTGCCGGCTTGCGCCGAGGGATCCCCATCGGACGGCAACCCGGCCTCTTCCAGAGCAGCAGCGCCTGGCTGGTGCTCGAGTAGACGCGCCGGGGCACCAAGGAGCCTTTGAACTTTTCCTGGCCTCCCCTCTCAGATGTTACCCGAGCGAAAGAGGGGGTCACATTTCATCTCATGCATGCATTCAGTGGCTGGGCGATTTCGTTAGATACCCACCACCAGCTCGTTTGAAAGGGAAGCTTTGGGGATTTCAGAACAGACGTGTTGGCGCACGTCTTTGAAAGCGCTGCTGTTAAGATTATCCCAAAGGGCGCAATTCGGGTTAAGGGGCCCTGTCGGTGCAAAGTGGAGAGAGAGAAGGGCTTTCCCTTCCATCGGAAACCTGCCAGCGCCATCTCTCTGGGGGCAGATTCAAAGCCAGAGTCAAGTGGCTCCAAGTACAGGGGTGAAGGTGGCCTGTCTCGGCGCGCCCGCTTCCCCGCCTGACCTCTTCTGCTCTGTGAAGGGGTGACCTTTCAGACTGGCAGGTTGCACACCTACTCTTCTGTGCAGGGAGAATGAACTGTCGGGCAGGCTGGCGGCAGGAATAGTCTCCTGATCGCTTCCCTGGTGACCATCTCCCCCACCTGATGGTCCCGGTCTCCTGTTTCCCCCTTCTCTGGAACTGCTCCTCTCTCTCACACACACACACCCGCCTGGGCCCACCTTAACGTCAGCTTCAGGGTGGTAGACGGTCGACCTGGTCTTTTTTCTTATCCATGCTTTTTCTTTCCTTAGCTGTGATCTTGTGGGCTTTTCCCACAGCAACCCTTGCCCTGTCTTTTGTGAAAGCCTCTGGGGCTCTGCAAAGTGCCAAATCTCACCAAATGAGTTTTTTCCTCCTCTCCAAAGTGTCACGGTTGAGGTTTCTCCTCCTTCCGGTGTGGTCCCACTAGCCCCTTGCTCTGTATCTCGTGCCGTTGCCTGGGTTGTGTTCTCGCTGCTTCTGGACCCAACTGTAAAGCACACAGGGAGCTGTTCAAAGGGTTGTCTCTTTCTGTTTACACTGAACCAATAAAAAAATGGTTTCTCTTTTAAAATGCGGGTGTGACTTGTCTCTGGTCTTGTTAAGCAACTGTGCCAGGCGCAACAACTCAACAATTCATTTGCTGCTGGCCGGACAAAACCCGTTTGCCAGGAGCAAGGGGAGCGCAGCAGCTTCCAGGAAGGATCTCTCTGACTCGGTTGCCCCTCAGCAGAGCGAGCCGCGAAAGAAAGATCTTCCTCCACCTGGGCCGTTTAAGACTGGGAATTATTTGCGTGGCCTCTGAACGTGTTTACGAATATCCAAGGCCTTGCAAAAATGCGAGGCGGGGGAAATCGCGTTTACTGTTAAAAGGGCTGGGGAGGAAAGGCGCATAGAGCGAAAGGATGAATCGGACACCACAGTGCATGGGAATTCCTGCGAATGGGTATTGCGGAGGGTATGTTTAGGAACCATTTTATCCAAACAAATTATATCCCCAGCTTTTGACAATAAAAAAAAAATCGCCTGTGATGCAGCTCAGTCCCATTCACGCTTACCCAAAACGAGGCGCCAGTAAGTTCCGAGGGGCTGCATCCCCAGTTCCTGCGTATATGAGTGCAAAAGCCAAAAAAGAAAAAGAAAACCTTCGAAAGTGTTGTGTGGCGTCCAGCAAAGGTTCCCCCGCTTGAGCTTTCCCAGTTTAGCGTTTATTTCATCCGAGCCATAAATTCTACCATGTATAAAAATCTCCACACCTTTCACGCGTCTGCTAAAGTCCCCAGCAGCAAATTATGAAGCATTTTTAGGGTCATACATGGGCTTCTCCGCAGTTCAAAACAAGGGGTCTTTCAAGGGATGCCTGCATGGGATGAGGCTCGTTCATTTTCCTCTTGGAGCCATCGCTGGTCTTTTCTAGGAAGGCGCTTAAGGCTTGTCAGCCCCAACCAAGGAAGAGTGGCTTTTCTTCCTTGCACAACTGTCCTCTTATTGCACCTTGCTGGCGTTAGAAAGTGGGAGAAGCTGGGAAAGGGGGCAACCTGGGTGCGGAAATCACTAGACCTTTTTACATGGATGGCACCAGAGGAAGGGCCAAGACCCTTCCCCAAAGGAATAGCCCTCCCGCCACCCAGCTACCTTCTAGTTTCCTGAGGTTACAGAAGGAGAAGCTCCTTCTGAAGTGCAGACTCCTGGACCGGGACTTCTAGCAATGGGTCCAGTTCTAAGAAGGGTTACCTGGAGAACAATAGTACCTAGTTCACAGGAGACCTGTTGTATAGAATTTCGCTGTAAGCCATCCATCCCAGACATGTCAGGAAGTCAGTCTTACTCCCACTGAGTTGGATGAGGCTCTCTCGAAGGTAAGTGGAGATAGGATTGCAGCCTTCACGTGACCTGCACAGTTCTTATTTCTTTCTTTCGACCACGTGGGACCCTGCTCACTCCCAGCCAGCGCCGCTATGCAGTCTGCCCTTTCTGGACACGCTGCTCTCTGGTGTGCTTTTGAATCTTACCTACTAATGGGTCAAATCGATTAAAAAACCTCCAAATCGACCTACAGGATATTTGATAAAGGACAAGCCGGGCAGGACCTCCAAGTGGGCGTTTGCTGCCCAAGCGCTGGGATGGGACTAACGGGGTGGGAGAGCTGTGTAGCTCCAGGATCTGATGGAAAAAGGGGAGCCGGTAACCTTTTTGGTGGCTTCTGTGATTCTGGATGCCTGGTGCAATGGACTCCACTCTGTGTCTGCTGGGCTAAGCCTGATCAAAACTTAGCTCCCAAACCGAACCTGACTACTTCTGGCGGGGGGACGGGGGACTTGCATGTCCTTTATATCTGCCAAGGTGGGCCTGAGCTAAAAGCTTCCCCATCCAAATCAGTGCACATTCTGACCCAGAAATGCGAGGAATCCTGTCCCTCCTTTCTGCTGCTGCTGACTAGAGATTTCCCCTCCACTGCAAAGGAGGTCTCTTAACTCCTTTCCATGAATATAATTCGTGGGCCCTGGAGAATGGACGGATCCCACTGCACCCGAATGACCCTTGGCATCCCCTCCTCTCCCAGGCCTTCATTACTCTAGGAAAAGTAAGAGAGTCAGCTAGAGACTGTACTGTAGCAGCATTAAACTGTGATCGTGCGTATGTGACTGGGGGTGCAAAATATCTGAAACGCACACAAACCCTTGAAGCATTTTAGCTTTTAGCTCGGCACCTGAGCTGTGTAGCAGTAGCAGTAGCAACGATCTCCTTTAAAACACACTTGGGAGGAATTAATGACCGAATGGTTGGTTTAATTGATTCCTCCTTGGATTGGTGGCTCCAAGTTTCACACCGCTGGTCTGTTCACAAGCTGATGTCTTGAGGAGTTACCATAAATCTGGGCTAAGCCCGCTCGGCTGAAACAGAGCTCCGGCAGTCCGGGGAGGGGTGGAGGCTAAGGCAGAGGATTGTTCCTGGTAAAGAATGAGCCAGGGGCCAAGGCTGTCAGGATAGAACCGGGATCCTGAAAGTGGGTCCCTCTTTCACTTGGGACAGTGAAGTAGCTGGAGCCCAGGAAACACCAACACACACCCCGCTATAAGTTTCAGAACAAGTTTAGTGCCAAAGATCTGTAATGCCTTAAAGGAGAGAGAGTGAGAATCGATACAACTGGACCAGTTCGTAGTTACGCCGAACTCTGGATGGAGCGAATGAAGAGGGGCAACGCGAAAGGAAGGTGGAACAAGCTCTTACTTTCCATTCTACTTTGACTAGGCAAAGCACCTGCAAGAATGTTCCAGTTTTGCACCAAAGCAGCTGAACGGACAGTTATGAACACATTCTGACTATGGGGCTCTAGTTTTGCCGGCTAAGAGGATCTGTTTACCATCAAAGGTTGCACCGGGTTTCAACTCCTGGTTGGGCGGGCCTGTATCCATATCTCCATATCTCCATATCTATCTGTAGTATATAATCCCAGGATTTATTTCTGCAGGACCCCCGTCTCCTTTTAACCAAACGTATTATTTGTTAACCGTCCAACAACCCCGTGAAGTTTCTTCCTGAGAAAATTTTCCCATTTTACAGATGAACAAATAAGGTCGACAGGCCCCTGGCTAGTATCTGTCCTTTTAAAGTAAAACTCTGTTTGGGTTCACGACAAAGAGAGTTTCTGTGCATGCCGCAAGGTCCTTTTATGCAGCTTAGTACCTTCATTCTAATACATAAGTTGACGTGGATTCCTAATCAACTAAAGTGGGACGTTTAAATATTTCTTTTCTCAGAGGAAGCGCACTTATTCTCCCCCCCTTACCCCCCCCCTCAGGAACCAATTCTCAAGTACAATTGAAAGCTGTCATATAAGACGACGGCAGTCTGTGTGCCTGCGCTCGAATTTCTATTCCAGTTGAAGTTAAAGTAACCTGTTAAAGGATGCGGAGTGTATTTCTGTGTGTATCTGATAGACAGATCACGCTAATTGTTGACTTAAGTCCCCCAAAGTGTGAAAAAAGAACTTCCCCAAACTTTGCAAACGCTGTCATTGCTCCTAATCCCCCACATTTTCCACTTTTCTTTCCAGTTTCGGATTGCGTGTGTTTGTGAGCATTTCACCAGATCAGTGACAGCTCTTTATTTGCATAATTATATGCTCTGGTCTGAAGAGAAAACTAACCCCCAAATTTCATGGGTCACCAAACTACGACAATCAATGTTTTATCACGTATGCTAAGCAAAAACCTAAGAAGCTATATGAAGTTTCTTGGGGAGGTTTTTACTCCTCAGAAAATTAAAGACGTGGTGCCCCTTCAATAGATGCAAAATCTTTCCAAGCTCTTTGTAACTGAATTCTGTTTGAAGGGGGAAACCAGAGATTAACACGTAGATCTGGGGAGAGCGAGGCGGGGGCAGAGACCCTCGAGCGTCACTTCAAAGTAGATTTCCAAAAAGAAGCGCCTATGCGTGTTGACAGTTCCCTGCTCCAAATACTGTAAGGGGCCAATCCTATACGTGTATGTTGAGCGTTCAGCGGGGCTTACTCCCGGTAAAGTGGGTCCCGGATTGCAGCCTAAATCACATTCGCAGCAAGAAAGGGCCCGCAGACCCACTCGGATCCCCAAATAGGATTGTTCGTGTTTTTTGCGTCCCATATACAACTCATGGGTTTAAAGCTGGGATCCCGCTTTCCTTCCATTTATCAGTGATGGGATGGGAGGGTATAAGCCATCTAATCTATCGATCTATCATATTTAAAATTAAATAAACGTAAAGACGACCTTAATCACCCCCAGCCTCGCAACGGGATTTGTTCTGGTCCTTGAATGCACCCAAATCCGTGGGAGGCCCCATCATTTTGGAATGTGATCAACGTGCATGGTTGGAGCGAAGAATGAATTTAGGAGTGATCACAAGCCAGAAGGACAGGAGGAGAAAAAACACCCACTTGACTCAGGAGGCTGCAGAACAGGCGGGAAATTCCTGTGGGGTAAAATGGGGAAAGTGTGTGTCGCGGGGCTGGGGGTGGGAGTTGAGCTCGGAGCAGGAAATCCATCCTGGGGATCTGCTGGTCCCCCTTCATTGGGGGAACTGAATTCGGAGTCCTTCTTCTGCAAGTGACTTAAAACTAAAATGAGGCGAAGGGATGAGAAAGTAGGACATTTCCCATGATCTTTACTAAGCTTTGGCTGAGGACGATTAAGCCCGAACCTCGAGCAAGAGAGCAGGCTGGATATTTGGAGCCGACAGGAGTTGTGCCTGTCCCGCCGCCAAGGCAGCCTCTGGGCCCAGGAAGGAGCCGCGGTGGTTTGGCCGGAGTCGCCACGAGAGCTGGCCGCGCCCGGGATGAAAAGGCCGGTGATCGCCTTCTTCCCCTTCAGAGCATCAAATGAGAATAATCTGGGGGGAGAAGGAGAGAAAAGCCCTCGCCTCTTCACCTCCCCGGCGAATGCGGGCTCTCTCAGCTGGAGGAGTAACATCTGACATTCCTCCTCACAAGAGGGAAACTTCAAAAGAAGAGCAGGGAACTGGAGAGCGAGAAGCCAACAGGCGAATATTCACGGCGCGAAAGGGGACGGCTCTGGAGAGCTCAGGGCCAGCCTG